ACATTATATAAATCATGTAATAAGAATAAGATCAAATTAGGATCCATATCAAATAACAATGTCTATATGTGCATTCGATGTTTTGAATTTTGAAACATCTTGAACTCTTTCTTGTTCTAATTAAGCATGTATTTTTGTTCTACATGTTTTGTGATAGGCGTTTATCAAAACGCCACCATGTCATTGCCAAATCATCATTTTTTCTCATCATGTTTATCTGTATGCCTTGGTATTCACAAAAGTGGGTTTTGATTTATGTGCGCACCAACTGTCAGGGGAAGCTTCATTTTAACGCTTCCCCCCAACATTTGAGCATTTATTCACTAAATAGCTGACATGGCGCCTAATGATGCCTAGTGGCACCTAATTGTCAATAAACGGTTTATCAAGTACTTTTCAGTTTTGAAGACAAATAAAGTACAAACATTTATTTAAGAAACAAAAGCTATACCAAACACATACTAAAAAACAAACAAACAAATATTTCAATAAATATTTGTTCAAAAAATAGTACCCAATCAGATTCATTTGTAACGAATTATTAATTATCAAATAAATACAAAGTAATTAAATAGTAAAAACATTCTCATATCAGTCGATTTCTGATAAATTGATAATAAATTTGTTTGGTAATGATTTTTAGCAATGATTTTTTATTTTATGAAAACTACCTTCTTTATGTTATCCAAAAAGGTTGAAATCGGCCTTAAAAGAGGAATAGGAAAAATTTATAGTGATTTTAGATTTTCATAAATATTATCTTAGCAATTTATCAAACAACTAATTCATTAACAATTCATCTATAATTCGATAAAATTGGAAATGTTATCAAACATTACCTAATGGAAAGTCACGAGCTTGTCGGTTCTCGGTTCACAATTCTCCCTCCCTCCCTCTCTCTCTCTCTCTATAATAATAATAATAATAATAATAATAAAATTAGACGGTCCATGTGTCAGCATGTCTCTCTTTTGAGAGAAGCTATTTATCTATTTTATCCATTTTTGCATTTTTTCTTATTTTCTTTTGTTTTAAAATATAAAACAATGATCGTTCCTTATCTTGATTAGATTAATAAAATTGCACACTATTAGAGAGAGTCATTTGGGTTTTCCAAGGCCTCTTATTTTAATGCATGTTATTATTACATGTAAGAGGGAGAGAGAGAGAGTAGTAATAATATAAATCAAATAATATAACTAGGTTGAGGTTAAACAATCAAAAAATTATTAATTTAAAAATTCAATAAACTTTCACTAAAAATAAATATTAACAAAACTTAGTCAATATTAAAATGTGTTTCAATTCCACTTAAAAGACAAACTTAATAAACACTAATAAAAATAAGAAATTTAAATATAAAAATATTAATTGATTAGTTTAATAATATTATTAGATAACTTTGTATTAATGCATTTTTAATTAATTAATAATTTTTATGAGTTGAGACCTTTATTGTGCATATTGAACTCATTAAAAATGATAAAATTAATGAAAATTTAAAATGTGGAACCTGTTTTATTAATAGTATTTTATTACAAAAATTAATCATATGCAAAAATTACTAAATAATAATGAAAAATACCAACAATTAATTAAAAATCCAGAAAATTCTGAAAAACATAAGAATAACTAAAATACTAAAAATAATTAAAAAATAATGAAAATTAACAATATTTTATATTGATAAGGGTATTTACTAAAAAAAATAAAAGTACAATTAATAGTATTTTATTATTAAAAAATATCAAAAATTAATAAAAACACCCAAACTATAAATTATTGAAAATTAGTTGTATTTTTTATTAACTACAATATTTATTTAGTTATTTAATTTATTTTTAATGAAAGCAAATGCAAATTAATTTTGTAGTGACTAATATGCAAAAATAAATGCTGAAAATACTGAAAATTATTGAAAAATACTCATATGCAAAAATTTCTGAATAATAATGAATAAAAACCAAAAATTAATTAAAAATCCAAAAATTTTGAAAAACCTAAAGCTTAATTAAAACACTAAAAATAATGAAAAATTAAATTAATTATATTTTATTGCAAAAAATATTGAATAATAATGAAAATAATGTATTTTAATTATTAATAGTAATATAATTAACAATAATTATTTTTATACTGTAATTAGCAGTAATTATAATTTAAGCTATAAATAGCAGAAAATTACATTTAATTACCAAAAAGTTATATTTAATTACTAGAAAATTACATTTAATTAATTTTAGCCAAAAAATTAGCAGTATTTTTGAAAATATTATAATATCTAGAAATTACTATATTTTAAATAATACAGTAATTTAATAATTAATAATAATAAGTAACAAAATGTTTATAACTTAACCTAACTAGAATAGATATATAACTTTGCAGGTTCAAGCAACTATTTTTTTTTTAGTTAGGTCTAGCTGAGATATGCACCATGCTCTCACATTATCAAGGATCATTAGATTTGGAGTCTAATTGGGTATCAAACTTTTAGAGTCCAATGATGTCTTTAGCGGATAGGGCCACCCCTAATAAGCTCAACTTGGAAGTTACATGCATATATGGTATAATATTTAAATAACAAATTTTATATTAATATACATAGTAATGTTATATATATTTTTTATACTAGACTAGAATTAAATAAAAATTTAAATTTGTAAAAAATCATAATTTTATAATGGGATAATAGAAGATAAGGGCAACTTTTTGCCCTTAATATCAATAAAAATACTATTTTTATATAATAACTAAAATGGGTTTTTTTTGGGAAAATATCAAATAAAGGTAGTGTCACCGTTGATTGTCTTCCTCTGCCTCACCTGCTTCAATGGCGTAGGAGGGGGCAGAGGAGGTGTTCTCATGGATTGCCCAGGTGGGAAAGAAGGTAGAGGAGGAAAACGACCAACAATGTCGACTTCCCTTTCAAACAAGGGTAGTGTCATTGTTGATTGTCTTCCTCTGCCTTTGTGTAAGTCTTTTGGCGACCGTAAACTTCAGGGCTTGATATTAAGACATATTCACTAAAATGTAGGGGATTAACCACAACAAACGAGAAACAGGGCTTGGGAAAAAATTTGAGCTAAGAAAACAAGAAAATAAATCATTTCAATCGGGCCCTAGCTATCTACACATCTCAACTTCCATTAACATTGAAATGGAAATACCCATAAATCAAGGCTATACTATACTACACACCCCACTCTATCTTGCGCACATGAAGAAGAAACCTAGAATACATGCGAACCCAGTAGAACTACTGACATTGGAGGAAGTACCGGTGTGCCACGATTGTTTGCATCTGAAGCACATATCTATAAATTGTAGGCCATCGTCGTGAGGAGGTTCGTGAACATGAAGACAATCAATAGTGACATTGCCCTTGTTTGAAAGGGCAATCAATACTGTTGGTCGTCTTCCTCCTCTGCCTTCTTTCCCGCTTGGGTAGTTCATGGGAATGCCTCCTCTGCCTCCTCTTGCGCCATTGAAGCAGGTGAATAGAGAGGCAGAGGAGGGAGGGAGACGAGCAACTGCCCTTTTTTGATATTTTTCCAATAAAAGTTACCCTATTTTGATTATTATATAAAGATATTACTTTTTATTGATATTAAGGGCAAAAAATTACCCTTATCTGCTAGAATCCCTTTTATAATTAACACGAGCCTCTTTATCAACAAAAAATGTGCAAGCCTGAGCCCGAGCTCGGCCTGACCATTAAGCCTAGATCTTGAGCCCAAGCCCAACCCTTTTATAAAGCCCAAAGCTTGAGCCCGAGCTCAAAGCCCGATCTTTACACAAAATGTCTTATTTTTCAATATACTTTTATAAACTAATATTATATTAATTTAGTAATAATTTAATAATTTAATAAAATAATTTATATTTCCTAATAGTAAATTGATATTTATTAAGAATTTAAGAGGCATATATATTATATTTATTATATATAACATAAGTACGTTTTTATATATGTAATAGTATCGAGCTAGGCTCGAGGCTGGGCCGGGCTTATTTGAAAAAGCTCAAGCTCGAGCATACGGGCTTGAAAGTTTGTCCAAGCCTGAAAAATAACAGGTCAGATCGAGTCGAGCCATCAGGCTACCCGACCCATGAATAGGTCTAATTGTATACATCAAAAATCATATGAAATAAAAATTTAAACATCTTTTTCAATTTTAAAAAATAGACCTCTCATAGCTTGGCCCTGCTTGTGGTTTGGCCTGGCCCAAGGCTCGGCCCATGGACCAGCCTGGCCCACAGCATGGCATGGGCTGGTGTGGGCTTGGGTCGTGGGCTGTGCCGAATTGACCCCCCAAATTATCCTAGGGGAGGGAGGCACGAAACAACTTGCATGGGCCCGTGCGTGCTTGGGCCGCGGGCTGTGTCGTGTTGGCTCAACATGACATGATTTACACTTCTACTTGAACCCACTCAATATTGGGGATGGGGCAGGGAAATTCGAGAATTCCCCATCATTGATGAGGAGTAGGGTGCCTTGCTCCTAAACTCGCCTGACATTGAGGAGTGTTTGCCTTGCCTTGAACCCGCCTAACATTGGGGATTGGGCGAGAATGGGGTAGAGTGCCCTGCCTTGAACCCACCCCATTGTCATTCCTATATAATTGTTAATTACTAGTGAAATTAATAAAAATGTTAGATTTTGTAATTATTTTTATTTATTTAAAGTATTCAAAATTTCATTTAAAAATAATAACAATTATTAAAATTACTATAAACTATTAATAAAACTAAATTTACTAAAAAATATTTATTCATATTAAATTAACAATAATTATTTTCTATAAATCAACATTAAATGAAAATTACAATTATTGAAATTTTAAATATTATCAATAACTTTGAATACTTTTAGTTAATTAACAATAAATTTTAATTATTAATTTAATATTAATTAATAATAAATAAATTTATTAAAATTTTCATGTTTTTCCGTAAATCGCACGGACCCCCGCTAGTTATCCCAAAAAAACCAACAACCAGCTCCAGGGTTTTGTTTGCTGTCGGTGTTCCGCACGTCGATTTGACCATTCTGGAACGAGCGAACGAGCCCAAGAAGATTAGAGCTGGTATTAAGCGTTGAATACTTGGATTAGTATAAAGTGGCTCCACATGATATCTCTTTTCACTTTGTTATTTAGGTATATAGAACAAGAACGAGCAGACTGTGTTTGGATCTGAAATTTTGAAGATGGGGAGGAGGACGATGATGAATAGTGGCGTTGCCATGATATCCGTGCTGGTAGCTTCTCTCTACACCTCTGCAGCTTTGTCTTCGCCTGATGCCTTCGTCAAGAAAACCATCTCTTCCCATTCCATCGTCATCTTCTCCAAGTCTTACTGCCCGTAATCTCTCTCTCTCTCTCTTTCATATCTAAACATGTTATTCACTTTACTGTAGAATGCTTGCTTTGAAATCATTTTGTTAAGAAATTTTAAGGCTTTCTAATGAATTAATTTTCGTCGGCTGCCCTTGAATTTTCTCACCCCGTTCGAATTCAGATCGCTACAGTTGAGTTGTTGAGAATACTTCTTAGAGATCAAAATACAACCTCTTGTGATAAACTGATAATTTCCAGCATTTTCTTTTTCTGATGGGAAAGGAATTTTTTCTCCTTTAGGGAGCGAGTGGGTGGTTCACCCTAGTAATGTCGATAATGCAATTGGGATCCTAGGCTTTGATAGATAAACCGCAAATTATCTAAGTTGTGAGCTAACTCATTTGCAGACCTAGGAATGTAAACAAAGTTAGCTTGCCCGATCTCCTTTATAAGAACCCGTGCATCATGGGTGATAGGTTTTACGTCCCATGTAGCCTTCTTGCTCTGGTACTTCATCAGGTTTATCATATTTAAATTATCCCTAATAATTGTGGCAGAGGCTGGTTTTAACTCCATTGCTAAAGTGAGAGCTTCAGTTATTCCCCCAGACTTATGTAATTTCAGCAGAAAGACTAGTCGGTGGCTATGCGGTAACCCCTCAACTTTTTTAGACTTGGTCCATCCATGTACATGCTGCGCTGCCTGTGATAATACTATTTTCTGCAGGAGAATAGACAAGCTAGTCAGAGTTTATTTCAATGGGTTTCCCTTAATAGCATTTACAGAGTATTGTGTTTTGGATCCACAACAATGTCTATAAAATCTGCCAGATAACGGTAGTCATATGGCTGAACCTGGTAAGTGGAAACTGAGATTTCATCCTCTTTTTCGACTTTCTGTAGGCAATCAGAGATGAAAGCAAGGGCAGATTGAGAAATATTTTGCCTGGGGCATCTTTACCCATAAAGCATTCTTTGTTTGAACTAGTCAGCGAATTTTTGCAAGTAGAGCCATTGTCATGTGTCTGGAGATTCGAACACCCAGGGCCCCCATTTCTTTTGGTTGATAAATAGTTTTTCCCAGGATTTCAGATGCATTCTTTTCTTACCTGCATTGTCTCCACTAGAAATTCCTCATGGGTTCATCTATCTTAGAATATGTTTTCTATGGGAACTAGAACATAGACATTCTGTAAGTCAGTATACCTATTTCGACCTAGATGGTAACAAGCTTTCTTGCTTGCTTCCTACTTGCAACCCTTAAATCTCCTTTGGACTTGCACTACCATTGGTTCAAAGGCGGAATCTTAGATTTCCCAATGAAGAGAGAACCTAAATATTTATCCTTTTGTGCAATCCACTTCACTCTTGGACTTCATGTGGTGATCCTTCAAGTTCCAAGTTGAGCTTGCAAATTTCAGTTCAAGTAAATTCTGGATTCCTAGGGATTTATGTCCTGGTCAAAGCTCTTTCAAAGTCTTTACACACCTCTTTAACTTGTTGTACCTCCATCATATTTGTTCTTTTGAAATGACATTCTGGTTACCATTGATTATGCTGCATCTATATTGAAAGCTCCCAATAGTTTCCATGTCATATAAATCTCTTTGTTTCTCAGCTCCTAACTTTTTGCTACTATTGTTGATTATTTCACTGAGCTAATTATTTTTTGGGTTGTTGCTATTAAATTCAGTACCAAATTATAGTTAATTTTTCTTATTAAGATGTAACATTTGGATGGATGGTGAAATATATCTGATGAAGACATTATCAGTCTTATGATATATATATGCATGCCTCTCCCAATTTTGCAATTACTGGCTCTAACTAAATGAGATATGGTCCCAAGCCATAAAATTGTAATTGTTGTTCACCATTAGTTGTGGTAATGTGCAGGTACTGTAAGCGGGCAAAAGCTGTTTTCAAAGAATTGAACCAGGTCCCCTATGTGGTTGAACTAGACCAGAGAGGTTTGTTCACATCTAGCTTATAGGATCATTTGGATTTTGGAGTGCTTAAGCTGCATCTGTTTTAACTAATAAGCATAACATGCATTCTGGATTTATTTGGCAAATCAATAGTATTCATCTCCACACTACAACAACTTGTGTTGAACTTAGTTGCTAGAGCAGAGTGTGAGAACAATGGAACAACCTAACAGAGTATGATAACAATGGCAAATGAATGGACAGGATAAATTCTTGTCCATCCAATTTTATGTATTTTCTAGTTTATTTTAGTATTGCTGATTGCATTTTGGATTCTATAGATGAGAGTCCATAGATCTATCCAGCCTTCTTTCAACAGAGATTATATGGCTGTTGATAATATCATTCTTCTGAGTTCTGAAAGAAATACAAGTGTGCTTGATCGAGCTAATTCCTCTCTCTCTAATTGAAAGGTTGTCCAAATGGGGTCAGATGTTAACTCAGCTAATTACAAATGTACTTGATGGAGCTAATTCCTATTTCTCCAATTGAAAGGTTGTCCATATCACCATATGAATTCAGATGTTAACTTAGCTAATTTATGTGCTCTACAGATGATGGCCAAGATATACAGGATGCCTTGAAGGAGATAATAGGGAGGCGTACTGTACCCCAGGTGTTTATTAACGGAAAACATCTAGGTGGCTCAGATGGTAATTTTCTTGACTTTTTTCTTCCTTTGGTTCATTTTGACCTACCATGTATAAAGTGATATTGTTTTTCTAAGAACTTTACTCCAGACCTAATTGATAATCTGATTTCAGATACTGTTGAAGCATATGAAAGTGGAAAATTGGCTGAGCTCCTGGGTATTGAAGATTATGATGATGATCTTTGAGCCAAGATAATGAGACCAATTGTCAAACTTTATACCATGCTTATTATGTAACTCTTCCTCAGACATGCAGGGTAGAAAGTAATTTAATGTTTTTTGAGCATCACCATAGCCTTTGATATGCTGAGATATTTCTTTTTCTTATGAAAGGGTCATGGTATATGGTAGAATTTCCTTCCCCGCTTCATACTGTAGTTAGAGAATTGGTTCTTTTGATATTAAAGAGAGTGCATTGGATATTATTAAGCAACATCATCAATTCTAGCTGTAAAGTTGCTGCCTATTTATTTAGGTAATCTAGAAGAAACTGTAAGAGAAGACAAGGAGAAAGGAATGAATGGAATGGGTGCAACTCTGTCGTAAATGTTGTTGTGGGACAGTTCAGGGGTCTTGTCCTCGTGATATCATAGTATTAACCCATATTCATTGGGGTTAAGGGAGTCCACTCTCTTGCTTGATTAAAGGAACATGATAGAAGGAAAGCACCCAGAGGGGACTGATGAAATAAGCATCTATCTTGCCCTAAAAAAAGAAAAAAAGAAAAAAAATATCGAAGTCAATTGGGCTATATTTGGTTTGAAGGAAAAAGTAGGAATTAGGAAAAGGAAGGAAAAAGTAGGAATTAGGAAAAGGTAGGGAAACCTATAAAGGTTTGTAAAAGTTTCCCTACCTTTACCTACTTTTTTCCTCTAAACCAAACACAACCTTAGTGATAACTATCTCCACTGGGGTTAACCGATCGGTTAAGGGACTCGAATCTCTTTATTAATGAAAGCATGATGGGAGGAAAGTGCCCAGGGGAGACTAGGGGTGCTGGTTAACCGATTGATTTAGTTAAAAAACTGTAGTATCAATTAGGCTGCTTGGTTTTCGGATTTAGTATCAATTAGGCTGCTTGGCTTTTGGATTTTTAAGAGTGGAGAAATGTAAAGAGAATGAAAACTAAAACGAACAAAAAAGTTTCATTTCTTCATTTTTTTCAGATCGTTTAAAAATATAGAGCAAAACATATAGTATCAAATATTAGACATGAATGAAGAGTGAACAACCTAACAAAATCAAGCCTTCTCTTGTTTGATTCTTCTCTCAACTTAATTTTTGGCATAACTGGAACTCTTTTGTGAATGGTGTATATATTAGTATCTCCAATCAATCCCACCAAGTAAGCGTTGTGGCCTCTTGCAGCATTGTAATGGCATTGTCCCAAACCTCATGAAAGCTTGGGCGATCTCACAAACCAGTCATAGGAGAGGAAGCTTTTATATCAAGAGCTTGGTGTTTTTAATCTTGCCTTTTTGGTTTCCTCAAGAGCCATAGTTCTAAGCCTGAACATATGGAAAATATGGGTTTTTTTTCTCACTCTTGTCACCACCGCTGCCCGCTGGAACTATTTACCCAAAAACCTTTCAAGTGAGTTTCGGTGGTAGAGATGAGAGAATTCACTCCTATAGACATGAGAAATTAAGAAATAGAGTGTTGGTGTTTCATAGGGATAGTAAATGACGAATGGACAACTAATTAACTTTTTGATTAAATAATTATGCTTACTTTTTGGACTGTTTAGGTATGATAAATTGACGGCCTATGAAGTGGTATGATAGTCTATTATTATAATCTATTATTGGTAAAACATATGCATATCATATATACTGGTTGATTATCAGTTTTTTCTATATTAATTGAAAGGGAACTAAAAATCATTTTTTTACAAAAAAAAAAAAATCTAAAATGAAACTGAGTTGCTCAGTTCCATTAACCAAAATTTTCAATTTGGTTTATTAGGTTTGGTTCAGTTTATATTAATTGAAAGAGAACGTTTTTTTTTGATAAATATAAGCCATTTCAATTTATAAGAACGGAATTTTAATAAAAGATTCAAACTCCAAGGAACTGGTGTTATTCAAATAGTTTAGATATGGATATAGATACTTATAAATATGGGAGAAAGATATAGAAACACTTGGATATACTAGGAAAATGCATATAAATCTTATATTAATAACATTAAATTTAAAATAAATTATCTACTAAAAATGTATAAACACATGAGAAGTGCAATTATCACTCTAGTTCAATTCTTATAATTATAATTTTCAATTTGTATTAAATTTTTAAGAAATTTATTTGTTTAATATTTTTATATAAATAAACTATTTTTTTCAAATAGTAAATATGTTTTTATTTTTAACATATAATTGTTTTATTTTACATATATATACCTATAAAAATATAAATAATTTAAAATAGATAAAATAAATTATTTTTTTAATTTCAGTTTTTATTAAAATTTCGAGGGAAATTAAATATTAAATTATTCATTACATTTTTTTTTATTGTTATATAAATAATATCTCTAGATTTTCACGTATTAAATCTGTTTTAATATTTAACATTTAAAATAAAACATATAAATAATTTAAAATAGATAAAATAAGTTAATTTTTATAATTTTCAATTTTATTAAATATTTGAAAATATTATCTTAAATTACTTATTTCAGTTTTTATAATTACACTTTTCAATTTTCAAATTTCAATCTTACGTTATTTATTTCAGTTTTTCTAATTAAATCTTCAATATACGATTTCACCAAACTAGGCACAGATAATACCCTTCTATATTATTAGTTTGCATTAGACCATATCACAATATCCTCCAATAAGACTATCACGTCCATGATTTCATAAGACACTTTTTTTTTTTTTTACTGTTTTTTTTAACAGGCTACACAAACCGCCTAGGGGGTATCCCAAACTATATTATTAATGATTGATATTGACGCTGTACTCCATGAACCTGAAAACTTGTTCATGACCATAGAATTTTCATTATATTTGAAATTTGATTCATCAATTTTGTGACATTTCACGAGTGATTTTTCGCAAGCTTTGAGTGTATTGTTATTGCCAGCTTTTCAAATCAGCATTTACTTACTACTCACACAACTGTGTTGTAAGGTTCATTCCCAATTCCCAGTTGTTATTTGTTGTGAGGCTGGCATGAATAGCATTATTAAGGGGTTAGTAATTGATTTATTTGGTTGAAATTTTAAATAAAAATTCAAAATATTGAAAAACCAAGCATCTGTTGGTGTTGCTCCAGCATTATAGGAAAAAAAGTGATACAAAAAATAGCCATCTGTTTAAAACCATTTTTCCATAAAAAATAATGTTGTAAACCACGCTTTGAAAATCAGGAAGGCATGGTTTGAAGCAATGTCAAATTTACCATTTAAAAAGTTGTTCTTCCTCCAGAACAAAATACTACCAAGCAGTACAAGAAGGCACTGCTCCAAGCCACACATCAGCGGCTGCAGCATCGATGCCAAACACATACCAAACTTACTGATATGAAAACTTTTTGTTCAATTTTCAGTTATTTTGGTTATAACCAAATTTCATTAACATATTAACATATATAAATAATAAATTTTAGTTTGATCAGTTTTTAAAATTCACTGAATTTCTGAAACCAAAGTAATCATAAAACAAAATAACCAAAAAAAAAAACAAAACCAAAATTCTCTTTAGTTTTCTTAGTTGTTCCTTGGTGCTAGTACTTTTGAGTTGTTAGGTCTTAGGGGTGGTCTTTCCCTTTTCTCTTTGGTTGTTACCCTGCTTTGTGTTTGTGTTTGTTCTTGTTTAATGAATCATCCCTTATACAAAGCTCAATGGGCACTAGGGGAGGGCTCCAGAGAATCTGCACTTTGGCAAAGAGGTGGACTAAAATTTTGCAACTCATCATCGACAAAATTGGTTTTCTTGCTCTTCAGTACAGAAGTCTTTCACCACTTAACTCTTCCGAGAGCCGCATATCACTGTGACCAGTGCGACGGTAAACAATAACATTGGAAACAATCTCATAACCACTGAAATCGAGAGAAAGGAAGGGGAAGGGGGTTTACAAGGATAAATTAGATCCAGAGCCAGCATCTGAAGCAAGTGGATCAAGTCAACAGGGGGTGAGTCGAATTCAATCCGCTAAATCCAAGTTGGTTCTTTTGCCTTTGGACATCTATCAAGCTAACGCCGTGATTACTGGAAAACCCAGAGATTGGCTAATAGCTGATACAAGCCAATTGCATTATTCATGCCCTCAGATCTCATAGCTATTGCTATTCATCGACGGCATTAGCATTTGGTTTTCATTATGAGCCTCTCTGCAATTTTAAGAAAAGAAAGAAAGAAAGAAAGAGAAGAGAAGAGAAGATGATAATGATGGTGGTGATAGTAACGCATCAAGGCTCGTAATGAAAACCAATGGAAGCCGCTCCAGATAACAAGTTTTCCATCATTGGGCAACGCATACGAATGTATTAAACATGCGCAGATGAGAACTGTGGATGATAAAGCCAAGTTGAAACCAGGGTTCAGAAAGCTGAACATGGGCACCAACCTCTACCCAAATCGGGCGATTCATACACATAATATTAAGGTAACTCAGCGATTCAATCTGTATGATTGCAACTCACTGGGTCATCTTATATTTCTCTCCGTTTCTTCTTCATCCAGAAAAAAAAAAAAACATTTGAAAAAAAGTGGTAATAAATAAATACGAAACATCGATAAAGCCCTCAGATCTCATAGCTTCTAACATTCATCGCTGGTCATAGCTAATGGCATTCATCAAGAACCTTTTCCCATCAAGAAGAAGAAGAAGAAGGAGGAGGAGGAGGAGGAGGAGGAGGAGGAGGAGGAGAGGGTGGGGATGAGAAAAGGCGCGTGATGAAAATCCATGCAACCAGACTCCATGATATTAGGTTTCCATCATTGGGCAATCGAGAGGCGTCTTGCCGGGTAAGAAAAGGGACCCGTCGGCGCATAACAGTTGAATATAAGCTAAAAAAAAGGAGATAATCTAAATAAAACAATCGATGATCCACCAAGATCGAAGAACTTGACCTAGAAATCTATAACAGCACAAACTTACAGAGAGGATTAAGCTACCAAACCGTAGAAGATGAAACGCAGATACCAGAGAGAAAGGAAAGCAGATGGCGCATACACGCCATAACCTGTCATTTCGCTGCGTGCTAGGGCAACAATATAAGTGGGGAGTTCATGCCATGTGTTATTACGAAAATACCCTTATATTTATGTATGTCTAAAATGCCCATACTTTCATCCCGACTCAACTCCACCATTAAGTGTTTGAAGAAAGTTTTCAATGAGAATGCATATCTTCTAACTCATGTGGTGTCAGTCAGTTCCGCAATACCAAGATTAGGGATAATCCTATATTGGAAGAAGGATGAA